AGACGAAATCAACCTCTTCAAAATGCATGTCGGTCTCTTGTAGAGCACCAACTTTGGGATCTTCATCAAGATTTGCCTTGAGAAAATAGACTTCGTCTTCATTTTCTTCAAGATTCATGCTAAAAATTGGCACTTTTTTAAGAACTCACTCACTAACCATTGAGTTAAAAGGGCTTGTTAAGTAGCGGGTAAGTGCGCCCATAACCCCCCAGGCTCTGCACCTATAACCCTTCCCCGAGGACCAAGGGCAATCCCAACGTGTATCATGACACCCCCCCCTCACTGGGGTAGGCGGGAGACACAAGCGCCTCTGCAGCGCTGCCACCTCTCCGGTGCACATTGGGAATTGAACCCGGGTGGTCACCCAGCTCCAATACCATGTTAGAGCAGCGGGAAAAGTTGTGACTAAGGAAAAATGTTGAGGGATACAAAACTAGGGCTGTACTCACTAAGAACTAAACTAGCTAGGCTATAAACAAATATGACCTAGCTAATATATTTGTTGACAACTTGTCATCTAGTGGGCCAATGCCCAAGTGTTGGGCACGGGGCAAAAGTGTATGGGCCATAGGTTCGCACCTGCTTGGGATTTGGATCTGAGCAGTAGTCCCCAAGATATAGAGCCCCTAATCTTACTAGGGATGTAAAAAAAAAAAAGCTTATGTGATGCTCACTACCTGGAAATAACTCAACTTCTTCTCGCTCCAACGACGTAGTTGTCAACATATAATTTGTATATTTTATAGGCTTGCTAGGTGCATGCTTATATAGAGTACAACCTCTTAGGTTATATATCCTAGTACCACCTCATTCTAGTCAACTTATTCTCATTCTGATATGGTATCACTCTAGGTTAGGTCCCACCCCCGCCCACCCGCGCTTCCGCCTTAGGCCTAGTCCTAGCCGCCCCGTTAGCGCCCCGCTGGCCCCGTTAGCGCCACGCTGGCCCCTTAGCGCCCCGCTGGCCCCGTCCGCCCTGCTGGCCCCTTAGAGCCCCGCTGGCTCCTTAGCGCCCCGCTGGCTCCCTTAGCGCCCTGCTGGCCCCGTGCGCCCCGCTGGCCCCGTGCGCCCCACTAACCCCTTAATGCCCCGCTGGCCCCTTAACGCCCCGCCGGCCCCTTAACGCCCCGCTAGCCCCGTTCGCGCCCCGCTAGCCCCGTTCGCGCCCCGCTAGCCCCGTCGCGCCCCACTAGCCCCGTGCGCCCCGCTGGCCCCGTGCCCCCCGCTGGCCCCGTGCGCCCCGCTAGCCCTGTGCGCCATGTCGGCCCCCAGTTAGCCGGCCCATCCCGAGCTGGCCCCCCAGCGCCATCGGCCCCTGCTCCGCCGGTCACAGCCAGCACCGGCCCCGCGCTGGCCAGCCGCCGCGCCGCAGTGCCTCCGAGCCGCCGTGTAGCTGTGCCGCCATGTCGCTGCGCCGCCGCATTGCTCTGCCGCCCCCGACCTACCGGCCTTGGCTCCCTTCTGCGCCGGCACATCTGCCAACAATCTCCACCGCTCTCCACCGCTCTCCACCGATCTCCACCACACTCCATCGCACTCCATCGCACTCCACCGTTCTCCACCACCCTCCACCGCTCTCCACTACACTCTACCGCACTCCACCACTCTCCACCGCTCTCCACTACTTTCCTTCGCCTTTCCTCCTCTCCCTGGCAGCGGCAATCAGCTGCTGCAGCTGTGGTGATGGCGGACTCACATCTCCGCCTGGACGTGGAGGTTCAGGCGATAGACTTCGAGGCATGGCTCGTCGACCTCCGCCGTCACCTTACAGGTCAGCGCTACGGCGGTCACTCCCTAGCCATTCATATCGATGGCTTGCTTCCCCGCCCCGCTGCGCCTGTTGTCGTCCCTGCTGCCCCCACCACTGCTGAGCGTGAGGCATTTTCCACTGCTGCGCTTGCTCGTGCCGTATGGAATTCGCGCGACGCCGTCGCGTAGCTTGCTATTAGTCACGCGCTTCCTCTGTCTGAGCGTCCCTGCTTTACCACAGTAGCGAACGCCCAGGCTTTCTTAGATGCAGTCATTGCACGCTATTCCACCCCCGCCTCCGCCTCTACTGGCCGCCTGATCCTCCCCATGCTGTTCCCTGAACTTGTGTCCTTCCCCACTGTCGCCAACCTTGCCACTCATGTCCGCGCGCTCGAGACTAGCTACCGTGCTGCTACCATTGAGGCTCAGCTCACTGCCTTTCCACCGCCGCTCTGCGCTACCCTTTATCTCATTGCCACATGCCTCCCCGACCACCTAGCCACACCCCGCGACCACTTCCTTAGTCAGCACCCAGGTGACCTCACCCTCCCCGCCTTTATCACCGCCCTGTCTACGATAGAGACCCGCCAGCACATTATCGCTCAGTCTAGCGGTAATGCGCCGGTCCCTATCTTTCAGGTCTGTTCTCCCTCCCAGTGCTCTTACTCTGACATCTCTGCTTCTGTTGCTGAGACCGCCGTTGTGGCCTCAGCGCAGTCGCGTCCGGGTAAAGGCTGCCGCCCCAAGGAGGGGCGTGGTGGAGGGAAGGGGGGTGGGGGTCAGGAGGGTGGAGGAGGTGGGGGCGGGGACGGTGGTTTGGACGAGGGGACCGGGGTTGGTGCCCCGAAGCAGCAGCAGCAGCAGCAGCAGACTCTGCAGCAGCACCAGCAGCCGCGGCAGCAGTCGTCGCAGCAGCAGCAGTTGCCGTGGGGACTCCCGCCACCGTGGTGGACTGGCGGTGCTAGTGGCGGTGGTCGTGGTAGTGGCACGCGCAGCTCGGTGTCGGGTGGCGGCTCCAGTGCGGTCACCTGTCAGTACCAGCTTCAGACCGGCCCCCGTCGCGGCACCGTCTGCTCCCGGTCCAGCCACACCGCCGCCCGCTACTACCGCCGCCTGGACAACCTTCTCCGCCACCGCTTCGGTCCCTCGTCAGATCCTCCTGACTGGTACGCCCTGGCTCGCCGCCGTGTGCCTGACTTTGAGCTTGACATGGATCAGATTAGGACTGCTATGTCTGTTATGTATGCTGATGACTCTAGTGTGATTGGACCATATTGCCCGGTGTTGCCTAGCGTAGGTGTGTCCCCTGTATGTAGTCTAGGCTCCCCTGCTGCGTCAGGCGTAGGACCCCTTGCCTTGTTTAGTCTAGGCTCTATGTTCACCCCTCCGCTGGCTGACGCTACTGCGTCGCTCTCCTTTGCGCTCGACTCTTGAGCGTCCGCCTGTTTCTTTCGCGACCACACTGCACTCACGCCGCTTGCTGCCCCTGCCGCTCTAGCGCTTGCTGACCCCTCCTCAGGTCCAGTAGTAGCCTGTAGATCCACTACCCTCCCCTGTTCGGCGGTCCCCTCGGACTCCTTTATAGGACTGCATATCCCCTCATTCTCTAGAAACCTAGTTGGTGTCGGTTGTCTTCAGGACCTCGGCATCACCACTACGTTCCCCGGACACGAGTGGTACGCGGTTGTACCAAGGCCATCACTGGTGCCCCTCTGACCACGTTCCCCCGGGACCCTGTGTCCGGCCTATTTACGCTTGACATTGCGTCCCCCCCGGTGAGGGCATCCCCCTAGGTGCCTGCGGCGACCCAGGTCGTCGCGGCTTGCTCGTATCGGTCGCTCACTCACCCGTCGCTGCTAGGGCACCACCATCTAGGTCACCCTGCACTTCCGCGTCTGCATCACATGTCCCATTACGGTCTTCTCTTCGGTCTCCCTGCGTCACTCCCTACCCTTCCCCCCTCGCCTGCGCCGCCGTGTACACCTTGCGTCGAGGGCCGGCTGCGCCATGCTCCTCACTCCTCCTCGTTTCCCCCTACCATTGCGCCACTCCAGACCCTGCACTTGGACGTTTGGGGCCCAGCCCCCGTCCCTGGGCCGCGTCGAGAGCGCTACTTTCTAGTGCTTGTCGACGACTATACGCGCTACACTACGGTGTTTCCCCTGGAGCAGAAGGTCGACGTGCCTGATGTTCTTATTCCGTGGGTCGTAGCTGCGCCCGTCCACCGCGGCCTCCCAGTGCTTCGTCTCCACTCCGATCGTGGCGGCGAGTTTGCCTCCGGTCAGCTTGGTCATTTCTGTCGTGCGGAAGGCATCACCCAGTCGTACACCCTGCCGGACTCCCCGCAACAGAATGGGGTCACTGAAAGACGCATCGGTTTGGTCATGGAGGTCGCTCGTACCTCCATGATCCATGCCGGTGCACCCTATTTACTGTAGCCGTTCGTTGTTTGCTACGCCGCTCACTAGCTTAACATGTGGCCACACTCTCAGCCTCTCTAAGTGCCGGTATTGCAGCGGAACTAGAGCGCAAAACTGTGGATCGTTGGCTCTGATGGCCAGGTATATTGAGTAATTGAGCAGCGAGGAAACAATACAATGAGGTAATATCAAAACAATAGGGAGCCTGAATATAGCTAGGCGTGGAGCACACGGTCGAGGCTCGGCAGAGCTGAGACGTGTGGTTTGTCAATTTGCGCGAAGAGCCCAGATCCAGGCATGAAACTGCAAGGCGGGCAAAATGCACGCGACTTGTCAGGGGACCACATTTGGGTGGTGCGAATTGAAAAATGTGGGAGATTGCGCGGGAACCCAGTTACAATAGTTATGCCTTAACTAAAACCCGGGATAAGGAAATACGCTTTCCTTACGCAATGTCAGAGTTCGCATGTGGGACTGTAGCGCGGAAACCGAATCGCGCTTGCCTAGGGCAGTCGAACAAAACAGCAGCCATCAAAAACAGCCTCTCGACTCGAACCAAACATTTCGCCGAAGCAAAATTTTCAGGGACTCCCGGAAACAATCGCCTCGCGCCTTTCAAGCGGAGTCGCGGCCTGACTGACAGCCGACATGCGATGCGAATGGTCGGACCAGAAGCACATGTATGGAAGGATGCCATCCATCATGCAGACCCAACGGCTACTCTGACCTGCCTGCCACCTCTCACTCACCCCATCTCGCTTGAACACAAGCAACTTGTCCCAGTGCCCTCGCCGCAGTTTAGCTGGTGAGGGTCGAGGCGATAGCAATAATACTACCCTTCGCCCAAACTGCAAGCGATTCCTGTTTTCCGGTTTCTGACTCAGACGCATCGAGACCTGCTCGGCCATTCTAAAAACGCTCTCATATTTTCGGCAGACAATCATGGGCGCTCCCAAGCGATCCTCACGGCCCATGTCGTCGCCTAGGCTTCCAGTCCTGTGCGCAGCGCTGCTGCTGCTGCTGCTCTCATGGCAGCACGAGCGCGCAGCAGCGCAGCTACCGCACGACATCCCCACCATCCGCATCGGCTTCATGCTCCCCGACCCCGACCACAGCTCCGCCATCCCCTCCTCGCTCGCCAAAGAATGGTGCGCGCTCTCCTCCCCGTCACACCTGCCGTACCTCCATCGCACTCTCTTCCCTTCCCTCTTTGCCCCCACATTCTTCCTCTTTCTCGTTCTTCTCCTGTTCTATTTCAACATTTTCAAAATCACCATGGAGGGCGGACGAGATCAGCGTGCGCACGGGGAGCGCAAAGTAGCATGGAGGCGGGCTGGAGAGCTTGGATGATTACGGCTCGTGCGCGCTATTGGTCACGGCTCGTCGTCTGATGTTGGCACTTTTTGCTGTTTTGTTGAGTCAACTGGAAAGGCGCTGGGTGGAACGAAGGAACGAGGGGAGGGGCAGAAGGAACGATGAGCTGATCTGCTTCTGTCCTCCTCTGAATGGTTTCGTATGGCTTTACATGACATGGCACGGCTTGGCATGGCATGGCATGGCATGGCATGGCGCGATGCCATGGCAGGATGAGCGCAGCGCAGGTGGCGATCGACGTGCTGGCGCCGGACTACATCGACTTCACCATCGAGCCCGTCATCGTCGAGACCGACTGTAACGCGGACAGCGCGCGCGCGGGCGCCAAGGCGCTGGTGGAGCGCGGAGTGGTGGGCGTGGTGGGCCCCGCGTGCAGCGAGGCGGTGGTGGGCGCGGACGAGGTGTTCCGCCGCCAGGGCATCCCCTTCGTGTCCTTCGCCGCCACGGCGGACGTCTTCCGCCAGGGCGTGCAGTTCTACTCCTTCTTCCGCACCGTGTACGCGCGCCTCCTTGCCATATTCGACTCCGCTCTGCGGCACATTACTCTGCCTTCACCCCTCCTTTTCCTTCCTCTCTACCTTTGTCTCGCCCATTCCCCCACCCCTCCCCCACTTTCGTTTGTCTCGCCCAAGTGTCGTCTCGTGTCTAACATGTCGCCCCGCATCTCCTGCTCCCCGCGTCCACGTGTCAGGTTCGGCGATCGTCACCAATCAGCGGCCATTCGCAACGTGGTACGTGGAAAGGCCGTGACAGGTCAAGGCATGGCATATCCACGGCACAGTTGGCATGGGACGACACGGGTTGGGATGTGAGGGCATGACTAGTGCACGTAAGAGGGTTCCATCCCAACGAGGCGTACGAGGCTTACTGCTCCCTCCCGCCTCATCATCACCACCCTCGCCTCATTCCTGCTCAATACCGAGAATCACTACCGAGAAGACTTCAAAGTCATTCACCCTTCGTTTCACCGTGGCCCGTCGCACGGCCACAGCGACGCCCTACGCGTGGCGAGGATGCGAGCAGCCACTCGTCCCTGCTCCTCGCGGGTCCCATCCACACATGCTGCTGCCCCTTTCTTCCTCTCTCCTCCGCCGCAGCACCTCTCACCATATCTTCCATTCCGACGATACCTACGCCCGCGCGCTGGGCTACGACGTGAAGTGACTGACCCCTCTCACCCACTCCCCTTCCCACCCCCGACCCCTCGCGCCCGCCAGGTGCAGCACTTCCAGTGGAAGAAGCTCTACGTGTTCTACTCGGACGACACGTATGGCCGCGCGCTGGGCTACGACGTCTCTCGACTCATGCCTCCCACTCCCCTTCCTCGCTCTCCCCACTCGCACCTCTCGCCCCACCAGGTGCAGCACTTCAACTGGAAGAAGCTCTACGTGTTCTATTCCGACGACACGTACGGCCGTGCGCTGGGCTACGACGTGTCGGTGGAGCAGGACGCGGGCGTGGCGACGCACCTCATTCGCGTGCCGTACCCGCCGCCCGCCGACTGCTCGGCTTTCTTCAAAGCGCCGGACGGGAATGGAGGGGTGATTCAGGGCGGGGAGGACACGGCCGTGGTGATGGCCGTGCTGCCGGCCGTGGCTGAGTGCCTGTGGAAGGCGGCCGATAAGCTGGTGAGCGCCGGGGTAGGTCTGTGCATGGCGTGTGGGGAGGAAGTGGGGGGCTCTGGGAGTGTGGAGGAGTGTCTGTGGAAGGCGGCTGACAAGCTGGTGAGCGCTGGGAGCTGTGGAAGGCTTGCCCGTGAGGGGTTGAGGAGGTGGGGTGGGGCTGGGTTTGGGCATATGGATGGTTGATTGTGGGGGGTGTGGGTGGGTGAGTGGGAGTGGGAGGGGTATCTTCGCCCCCTTTCCTAAGTCTCTGCATGGCTACGCATGCCACCCATGCCCTGCATCGCATGCATGGCATGCAGCATTTGCGATGCCATGCCATGCCACCCATCCTATGCAGCGTAACGCTCCCCAAGCGCTGTCCCTCACACTCCTCTTGGCCTCCCCTTCCCCCACTACTCTTCCCCTCCCCCGCCCGCAGAGCCTCCTGGAGTACCCGTGGTGGTACGTGGGTACGGACGGCGTGGTGGCGCTCGACTTCTCCGACGCCCTGCCCGGCTCGCCCACCAGCAGCCTCGCCGCCAGGCTCAACGGCGAGCTGGGGGTTGCGCCCTTCGGTCAGTGCCCTCTCCGCCCTTCGCCCCTCACTCCAACTGCCCTCTCCGCCCTGCCTTGCCACCACTCTTGCTGACTCTCCTGTGGTTATGGCCTCAGCTCGCCTGCTGATCCCAATCCGTTCCCCCCCTCACCCCCACCCCACCCCCACCCCACCCACCCCTCAATCCTCTCCTCCATTCAAGAACCTCGCGCCCTACCCCCCCGACCCCATCATTCTTTCGAGCTCTCAAAGAGGACTCCTTCTCTCGACTCCCGTCCTCTTCACTGGGCGACTGTACTAAGGCCGACCTTCACAAAGTGGAGCAGATCAATCGTACAACAAGCTCCTTACTCTCTCCCCTTCTCCTCCTCTCTCCGCCCTCCCTCCCCCCATCAACCCCTTCCCTCGCACTGACATGCCCCATGCCACTTGTCTCTGTCCTCATCCCAGTGGGCGACTTCGCGGAGGACAACACGTTTCAGCGCTTCCTGGACTACTGGAGCATGCAGTCGTTCGACAAGTTCCCCGGCCTCATCACCATGCCCGTGCACCCGCGCCTGCGCTACCCGCGCGCGTACGTGCCGTACCTCATCGACACCGTGTGGGCCTTCTACGAGGGCATCAACAACATCGTCGTCAACCAAGGTACGCCCCCCCCACACACGTCCTCCCCTTCTTCGTTCTCCCCCTCCGCTTCCTCTTCCTCCTGTTAGCAAAGGTATGCGAAGGTGTGCGAAGGTGTGCGAAGGTGTACAATAAAAAGCACCATGCAAATCCCCATCACCAAGAACAAAAACTGACCGTCCATCCCCTCTAAACTCAACCGTCCCCCGTACCTTTCTTCCCTCCCTTCCCCCCCCCCTTTCCCCCCCATCTCCCCCCAACCCTTCCAGGCGTCAACGTGACAGCAGGCGCGCTGCGGCGGTGCTTCAACAACGAGCCGGCGGGGTGTGTGGCGTTCTACGGCGTGACGGGGCAGGTGGCGTTCAATGGCAGTACGGGCGAGCGCGCCAAGGACCGCGTGCGCCCCGCATACTCGGTGCAGCAGCTCGCCAACCGCACCTGGCACCAGGTGGCTGACTGGTCGCTTGCAAGGGAGGGGGACCGCCTGGCGTTCAGTGCTGAGAGGGTGGCGCAGCCGGGCGAGGATCAGGTGGGTGTGTGGGTGTGGGTGTGCATGTGTGGTCTGGGTTTACTCTCCCCTCTCCCATCACCTTGCCCCCTCCCCCCCTCCCCATCTCTTCCCTCTGTCCTTGCAGTCCATGAGGGGCTGCAAGTAAGAACTAACCCCCTTCCCCCTCCCCCCCTCCACCACCACATCAGGCCTCCACCGGGCTCAGTGGCGGCGCCATAGCCCTCATAGTACTCGCAGTGCTTGCGGTGGTGGGCGGGGTAGCAGTGTACGTGGGGCGCGTGGTGTGGGACAAGCGGCGGCGCATCCACCACATGGGAGCGTCCTTCAACGCACAGCCGCTGGCCCTGGCAGACGAGGCGGAGATGGAGAGGGGCAAGGTGCGCCTCATCTAGCGGTGAGGGGCTCTTATACGAAGCGAGGCTCCAGTGCCTGTGGCCTGAGCTTGGCCTGAGCTTGGGTTGAATTAAATAAACAGTGGTCAGGTGATGGATGCTGCAGCTGGAGAAAGACCTCAAGGGCCAGCCAATGGGCAATGGAGCAAGTGTCTAATGGATGCTGGCCTGGCCAGCGTGCAGAGAAACCCCTGTATCCAATACTATAGTGTACCCTTCTTACGTTAGTGATATAGCCAGCAACAGGATCCAGTCCAATGTGTTAACCGAGCCAGCATAGGAACTCTTGGTTGAACATGCCAGCAGCACCTTTTTGTTGGTGCCCAACCCAACCTTGTACCTAGTGAAGTGATACTGACGGTATGTTCATACGCAAGCTCCCTCCCATGCCTTAGGCCTGGAGCAACCCTGATAGCTGCCTGACCTGCAATTGCACCATGTTTCATGATTCTGTGGGAACGGACAGAACAGAATACACGATCCTGTAAATGAACCACCCAGCTGTAAATGAACACACGATCCGCGCAGCTGTAAATGAACCACCCAGCCCACCCAACCAGTGCACCGATCTTGAGCCTAACGAAGTATGCAAGCAACCACTTCGTGGTACCGATTGTATGCGGCGTGGCTCTCCTTTCGGTTCAGTTCAGTTTGCTCCCACGGCCAGCCGTTATTCCTCCAGCAGCACGATTTTCCAGTACCAATCAAATTGATAAAGCCAGGGTTTGGTAATTACAACCATTTAAGCCTCGAAGTTGGCCAGGTTGATGCAGATTGGATAGCGAGGGGCGAAGATGAGGTGGGGAGATTGGCGAACCTTTACAGGTCCGGTTGTTTCGCGCACACAAACCCAACCTCACACCGAACCAGCCAAACCGAGAACTGAGGTCTGCAGGGGCCCCAACGAATCATGCGACAAGCCCAACCAGTCACAAAGTCACCAGTCCTAACCACTGGGACAAGAAGGGATGTCATCAGCAAGGTTAGGCTCCATATATCCACCTTCCCCGGGGAAAGCCTCCCCATTACCCTCCCTAGAGAGAGAGAGAGGATCGACAGGGTTATCCCAGTGCCACGACACACCCCCCCGCTGGGATAGCGTGTGCACCAGGAATTGAACCCCGGATGGATCTGATACCAAGCCACAAAGTCACCAGTCCTAACCATTCGGACAAGAAGGGATGTCATCAGGAAGGTTAGGCTCCATATATCTGTCAAACATGTGTATTAGTTATGTTTGCATAGACTGTATAGGGTCACCTCTTAGAGGGTACAATACTTAGGTATATCTATCTGTACTCTCCCACTACTCGATGATTCACTTCTCATTCTGATATGGTATCACGCGTAGGTTAGGATCCCCCACCTACCGCTTCCGCTCGTCCTCTAGCTAGGCCCTGCCGCGCCCCTCCTGGGCCCCGTCGCGACCCCCTAGCCCCGTCGCGACCCCCCCGAGCCACGTCGTGCCCCTAGCCCTGCCGCGCCCCTCCTGGGCCCCGTCGCGACCCCCTAGCCCCGTCGCGACCCCCCTGGGCCCCGTCGTGCCCCTAGCCCTGCCGCGCCCCTCCTGGGCCCCGTCGCGACCCCCTAGCCCCGTCGCGACCCCCCTGGGCCCCGTCGTGCCCCTAGCCCTGCCGCGCCCCTCCTGGGCCCCGTCGCGACCCCCCCCTGGGCCCCGTCGTGCTCCTAGCCCTGCCGCGCCCCTCCTAGGCCCCGTCGCGACCCCCTAGCCCCGTCGCGACCCCCCTGGGCCCCGTCGTGACCCCCTAGCCTCGTCGCGACCCTCCAGGGCTCCGCTACGCCCCTCGCCCTGTAGCGCCCCTCCTGGGCCCCGTAGCGCCCCTCCTGGGCCCCGCCACGCCTGCAGGCCCCGTTGCCCCCCTGCCCGGCCCCGTCGCGCCCGCCCGGCCCCGTCGCACCTGCCTGGCCCCGTCGCACCCGCCCGGCCCCGTCGCACCCTGCCCGGCCCCGTCGCCGCCACCCGGCCCCGTCGCACCCGTCCGGCCCCGTCGCGCCCGCTCGGCCCCGTCGCACCCGCCCGGCCCCGTCGCACCTTGCCCGGCCCCGTCGCCGCCGCCCGGCCCCGTTGCACCCGTCCAGCCCCGTCGCGCCCGCCCGGCCCCGTCGCACCGGCCCGTAGCCGTCGCACCCGCCCGGCCCCGTCGCGCCCGCCCGGCCCCGTCGCCCTCGCCCGGCCCTGTCGCACCGGCCCGGCCCCGTCGCACCGGCCCGGCCCCGTTGCGCCCTGCCCGGCCCCGTCGCACCTGCCCGGCACCGTCGCACCCGCCCGGCCCCGTCGCACCTGCCCGGTCCCGTCGCGCCGGCCCGGCCCCGTCGCACCCGCCTGGCCCCGTTGCACTGGCCCGGCCCCGTCGCACCTGCCCGGCCCCGTTGCGCCCTGCGCGGCCCCGCCGCGTTTGCCGGGCCCTGCTGCACCGGCCCGGCCCCTGCGCTCATCCCTGCCCCGGCCCCTTCATCCTCACTGGTACGGTTCTCCCCCCCCCCCCCCCCCCCCCCTGCACCGTCCTGCTCCGCACTGCACTGCCCTGCACCGCACTGCACCGCCCTGCACCGCCCCGCACCGCACTGCACTGCCCTGCCCCGCACTGCACCGCCCTGCACTGCTCTGCTTTGCACTGCACCTCACTGCACCGTACTGTCCCGTCCTGCACTGCCCCTGATGGCGGCGGAGCTTCGCTTCGACGCTGAAGGCCAGCCTCTCGAGTTCGAGGCGTGGCTTGCCGACCTCCGGCGCCAACTCACTGGCCAGCGGCAGGATGGTGAACCGCTTTCCGCACACCTTGACGATACGCTCCCCTGCCCAGACCCCCCTGCTATTCTGCCCGCTGACTCCACACCCACTGAGCGCAAGTCTACTGCTGCCACTGCCCGTGCGCGCTCTGTCTGGCTTTCTCGAGATGCTGTCGCCCAGCTTGCCATTAGCAACGCCCTTCCCCCGTCCGAGCGCCCTCGCTTTAGGTCCCTCACTACTGCTCAGACATACTTAAATGCTGTCATCAAGCGTTATTCCACCCCTCCGGCTGCCTCGGTGGGTCGCCTGATCCTCCCGATGCTCTTTCCTGACCTTGCATCTTTCCCCACTGTCTCTGACCTCGCTGCCCACCTGCGCTCGATAGATGAGACCTGGCGCGCTGCCTGCACTGATGCACAGCTTAGAGCCCACCAGCCGCCCATTACCTCTACCCTTTACCTGCTTGCCACCCGCCTCCCTGACCGCCTTGCTGTCGCCCGCGACCACTTCCTTAGCATTCACCCCGCAGACCTCACCCTCCCTGACTTTGAAGACACCCTGACTGTGATTGAGACCCGCCACCGCTCCATCGCCCAGGCGAGCGGTACCGTGCCGGTCCCTATCTTTCAGGGTTGTGCCCCTGCTCAGTGTACCTTCTCCAACAGCTCTGCCGCAATGGCTGAGACCGCTGCTGCAGCGCAGTTTCGTACGGGGAAGGGCCGCCGCCCCAAAGTTGGGCGCGGCGGAGGAGGCGGGGGTGCGGGAGGGGGTGGTGGTGGAGTCGGGTCGTCTGGTGTTGGAGCGGATGAGGGGACCCTGCCCAGTCCAGCTGAGCCGCCGCCCCTGCAGTTGCAGCAGCCGCAGCAGCCGCCGCAGTCGCAGCCTTCGCAGCAGCCGTCGCAGACGCGGCAGACGAGTGTCCTCCCGCCCGGGTGGCCCGGCGCTGGCGGTGGCCGGGCGCGTGGTGGTGTGCCGAGTGGTGGCTCTGGAGGCGTGCGTTGTCAGTACCAGATCCAGACCGGTCCTCGTCGCGGCTTCATTTGCGGTAAGATCGGTCACTCCACTCCCCGCTGTTTTCGTCGCCTGGACGACCTCTTTCGTCAGCGCTTCGGCCGGTCGCGAGACCTTCCGGACTGGCACAGTTTGCTTAGTCGTAAGATTCAGATTTTTGACATGGACATGGATGCCATTGTTTCTGCTCTGCATGTGATGTATGCTGAAGACTCTACTGTGCTTCCCGCTTACTACTCACTGTCGGCTAGTGTAGGTGTGCCTAGTTTAGCCTCCCCTGCTGCGTCAGGCGTAGGATCCCCTGCTTTGTGTAGTCTTGGTGCTTCCGCCGTCGTTCCGTCGCCAGACGCCTCTGCTTCGCTTTCCTTCACCCTGGACTTTGGCGCTTCCCAGTGTTTCTTCCGCGACTTCACCACCCTGACGCCGCTTCCTGATCCTGCTGTCGTTTCTCTTGCTGACCCCTTCGGCGGTCCGGTAGTCGCCCGCAGTTCCACCACCCTTCCCTGTCCGGCGGTTCCTTCGGGCACTCTTACAAGTCTGCATATCCCCTCGTTCTCCAGGAACTTAGTTGGTGTCGGCTGCCTCCAGGACCTTGGCGTCACCACTACGTTCCTTGGTCACGAGAGGTATGCTGTCTGTACCGAGGCCGCCACTGGTGCCCCCCTGTCCACGTTCCCCCGGGACCCGGTGTCCGGCCTATTCACTCTGGACACCGTGACCCCCCCGGCTGGAGCGCTCACCCAGGTTGCTGCTGCCTGCTCCTGTCGGTCTCTCACTCACCCGACTCTCCTTTGGCACCACCGCCTAGGTCACCCTGCGCTCCCGCGTCTGCGTCACATGTCCCAGCACGGTCTTGTCCTTGGTCTCCCAGGTTCTCTCCCCGCGTTTCCCTCCTCCCCAGCCCCACCTTGCACGCCTTGTGTCGAGGGTCGGCTTCGCCGTGTCCCTCACTCCTCCTCGTTTCCCACTACCGCCGCGCCGCTGCAGACCCTGCACCTGGACGTCTGGGGCCCCGCCCCCGTCCCTGGGCCGCGTCGAGAGCGCTACTTCCTTGTGCTTGTCGACGACTTCACTCGTTACACCACAGTCTTTCCCCTGGAGCGCAAGGCCGACGTGCCTGGCGCTCTCATCCACTGGCTTGTCTCTGCGCGTGTCCACCGCGGTCTCCCTGTCTTGCGTCTTCACTCCGACCGTGGTGGCGAGTTTGCCTCAGGTGTCCTTGGTCGCTTTTGTCGTGTGGAGGGCATCACCCAGACGTTCACCCTACCGGACTCCCCACAGCAGAATGGGGTCGCTGAGCGACGCATCGGTTTGGTCATGGAGGTGGCTCGCACCTCCATGATCCATGCCGGTGCACCCCATTTTCTGTGGCCGTTCGCTGTGCGCTACGCTTCTCACCAGCTTAACTTGTGGCCGCACCCTCAGCAGCCGCAGGTTTCGCCGACCCGTCTTTGGACTGGGTCTCCTGGTGACGCGTCTGCGTTCCACGTCTGGGGCTGCCTTGCTCACGTCCGTGCCTCCAGCACGGACAAGCTCACTGCCCGCACCCTTCCCTGCGTCTTCCTCGGTTTTCCCCTTGACGCGTCCGACTGGCACTTTTAC